GGTGGTCTGAGGCCGGCTCTGCGCGCGGAGGGGGGAGGGGGGGGAGGTGCCAGGTCCCTAGAGGATGCTGCGCACCCGGAATTAATGGAGGGGCCTCGAACGTTCCCCAGAGCCCACTAGAGTCCCTGGAGCTCCTGTAGGGATGCGAATGCCACAGGTGGGGGGTGGGGTGAGGCGCGGCCTCAGGATGCGAGACCCCCACCGCCCGCGCCGCAGTCAGCCGTAGTGGGTGGAGTTCGCCCGCGCTGCGCACTTGGAAAGCCTCGGGGCCCTGGAGGCTGCAGGCCCCCCACCCACGCGCCGCCTGCCAGACGAGGGAGCCCCCGTGGACCCCTCTAGTCCTCGCGCTGCTGCCGTTAAATTCCTTGGCGAGGGAAAAAGAAGAAACAGATTATCCCGAGAGCAGAGACGTGGGCTCTAATTCGCGTTTAGGTCCCTCACCGAGAAACCGTTCATCCCGTTCTTTCTGTCGAGGGGCCTTGGAAAGAAAGCAGCTGGCGTTTGGGCAGGTGGGATTCAGGGAGGGTAGCGAGCAGGGGACTGGATGGGGGACTGCATCTTTTGTCGAGGCCCCCTCTGCGCTGGTTGTTGGGTTCCTTCGAGGCCAGCAAAGGGCAAATTTAATCCATCTGGTTCAGATCCCCTGGGGGGACGCCCGTGTGCCCCTCCTGATGCCCTGGGCCCTGCCCTGTTGCTGGATTCTCCCAAGCCTAGACCCTGACTGCTGCTGTGTCATCCCCATGCCCACCCCAGGCATGCCCTCTCCTGTGAAGGCGTTGGGGCAGGCCAGGCCCTCGGGTGCCAGTATGGCCCCACAGGCCCGCTGCTGCTCCCCTGCGGCCCTGCAGAGGCGGCTGCCCATCCTGGCCTGGCTGCCGGACTATTCCGTGTCATGGCTGAAGATGGACGCCATCGCCGGACTCTCCGTCGGGCTCACGGTCATCCCGCAGGCGCTGGCCTACGCCGAGGTGGCTGCCCTCCCGCCCCAGGTGAGACGTCTGCCCCCGCTGCCGCCCCACTCCAGCCTCAGCACCGTCCCGGGAGCCGAGCAGAAATGCGTAGTGTCCCCTCCAGACAGGCAGGGCACCAGAACCCCGGCCCCGTGGGGCCCCCAGAAGGCTTGGCGTGCAGTCCGCAGCATGTGACCGCCTTGGGGCAGACACACGCCCCTGTAACCGCTCTCACACGCAGGCACTGGACCAGTAGTGCTGGGTTGCCTGAGGGGCCCGGCAGCATGACTCACGAGAACGTTTTCTTAGACTCCTAGACTGAGATAAGGGCTCAGGCCTTTGTACTCCTGTGGGCACCCCGCTGGGAAGCAGGTGGAAAAGAGGCCCCCGGTCACTGTAGGTCCCCAACCGTGGCTAACGGCGTGAGTGCTTTACCCCGCCTGTGCACCGGGGTCCCCGCAGGACACGACAGCCACCCGCAACAGATCCTGCGCTTAGACACCTGCCCACGGGACACCGTGGGCATGCTGTGTGCCTCCTTGATGCTCAGTGCTGTCTCCCCACCAGTACGGCCTCTACTCTGCCTTCATGGGATGCTTCGTGTATTTCTTCCTGGGCACCTCCCGGGACGTGACCCTGGGCCCGACGGCCATCATGTCCCTCCTGGTCTCCTTCTACACTTTCCATGAGCCTGCCTACGCCGTGCTGCTGGCCTTTCTGTCTGGCTGCATCCAGTTAGCCATGGGCTTCCTGCGCTTGGGTAAGACTCTCGGGCCTTCCTGTCACGGGATACCCAGGCCCCTGCGTCCCGGGGATGCCCTGGCCCTCAGCCAAAATTTCCTTCTTTGCGTCCCAAGGGCTCTTCGTGTGTGTGTGTGTGTGTGTGAGTGAGGGGGGCTCTCTCAGCCCTCTACTATTCTACTTGGAGAAGGGCTCCGGGTCCCAGACCCTAGCCTCCCTTCTCCACTGTCCAAACTAGTCCAGACGGGGCATGTGGTCCTTAGCCTTGTTCCACCCGGACCGCCTGTCCCAGCCCACATCTAGCCACGTCCTCTGGGATTGGGCAGAGCTGGGACCAGCTTAGTGTTCTCTCTCGGCTGGCCAGGCTTCTTGCTGGACTTCATCTCCTGCCCTGTCATCAAAGGTTTCACGTCTGCTGCCACCATCACCATTGGCTTCGGGCAGATCAAGGTAGGTGCACTAGCTGGCTCCCAGGCACCTCGTGGGTAGTGGGACAGGGGCTGGGGTCGATATGTGCGGGCTAGTTGATGGCTTGCTGTTCTGGAGCTCAGAGCACAGGTGCTCCAGCGCATCTCCATCGGTCCCGTGAGCCCCTGGGGAAGATGCTGAGTGACGGTTGGACCGTGCAGGAGGTAATGTGGGCGACTGGTAACGACAGTCTAGAGTTTTCTTTTTCTAAATTTCTGTTGACCGTTTTTCTTTGATTTTATTTTTAAAAATTTATTTGGACGCACGTGTATACATTTTTAAAGTTTGTTTTTGAGGGAGCGAGAGAGGAAGAGAATGAGTAGGGGAGGGACAGAGAGAGGAAGAGAGAGGGTCCCAAGCAGGATGCTAAGCAGGCTCCGAGCTGTCCTGCGTAGAGCCTGAAGCAGGGATCAAACTCACAAACCGAGATCATGATCTGAGCCAAGATAAAGAGTCAGATGTCAGTTGACCAAGCCACCCAGGCACCTCTGTATACTTTTTTTTGGGAGAGAGAAAGAGGGAGAGTGCATGTGCACCCCCGCACGTTGGGGCTGGGGAGGAGCAGAGGGAGAGGGAGGGACAGAATCCCAAGCAGGCTCCACGCTCAACGCGTGAGCCTGATGTGAGGCTAACCCCAAGACCCTGGGATCACGACCTGAGCTGAAATCAAGAGTCGGACACTCAGCCGACTGAGCCTCCCAGGCGCCCGTTTGGTGCTTTTCAGATGCCATGCTTCTTTGTAATTCTGTGAAACACAACCGTAAGAAGCACCAGAACCAATCACCATCCATTATTTGAGGACTTTATTTGCTGCCCTTTCACTGGGTTTTAAGTTCCCGAAGGGCGTGTTTTCTTTAGGACTGCGGTCGCCTGGCCCTGAGCTTTGTAAAAAGGAAGTGAGTGCTCAGTGGGGCGCCCGGAGTAGAACTGAGCCAGGGTGTGGGAATGAAGGCCCCCCCC